CACTTACAGATTTAATTTTTATCCTGTAAATAACCTTTCTCAATTAAAATGTTTCGAATAAATTCATATAAATCAGCGGAGTAAGGAATTTTAATGAGATCTATACCTTGCTCCTTGCATATATTCTGCTTTTTTTGATTACGCGTCTGTTGACTATCTAAGTCGTCTTGATTTTTGTGATATAAACTATTGCAATAAAAATGCTGAACTCCATTATATTCCCATGCTAATTTTAGTTCTTCATTATACCCGTCCAATTGCATCCCATTCAAAAATGACGGTTTACAAGATGGGAATTTCTTACCTAACAAATTCTCAAAAATATATCTCGCAGATCGCTCCCCTTTAAAATGGGGACATAGGGGGCACCATTCAAACTTCGTAGCTATTAATGGATATGGGTACTCAAATTGATGTTTACCATTCTGACATGACCAAAGGTATACATTCTGATCATTAATTCGACCAGTTTTAGCTAAAATACTTCCATCACGTTTCTTGGCATATTGTTGAACCCTGTCAAATTCACTACTAGAAACACGAATGAAATGTATCGATCCAGAAGGGTAATATTTTCGTATAAAATTGTCAGGTGGATATTTGACTTCTTCAGAATTTTCTATTACTTAGAGTTCTTCTCGCTTGAATGGTCGATGTGGGTTACGTCCCATCAAATGAGCAGTAGATTCAATAGGCTCATCTTCGAGATAGTATAAGACTGGCTGTGGTGAATTCCTTCCAACAATAACCTTTTTAATTCGATAAACACGCAACGAGAAGTATGGATCAGTTTTCCTATGAACGTGTCCTCCTTCCAACTCACCTGGTTTTAATAAATATCTTACAGTCATTCCTTTTTGTAATCGCAGTTCATCTTTCCCAATAGGTCTTTTAGGTTTGATAGTTACTTTGGGAATCACTTCCCGCAATGTCATAGCATGGTCAGGACTCATACTGATTAATCGCGTTTTATTATTATTCATATAGTTGATAATTTTCCAAAGTATCTTTTTCCATAATTTTGAGCGTTCACCTTCTTTGAGTTTTCCTTCTATAGCATATTGAATTTTATATATAAGTTTTGCCAAATCTTGTTTGAATTTTTTTACTAACGCTAAGCTTTCAAAACTATAAAGGTCTACAACTCTTATAGGAACATTATAACGTTCCATCCCTCGAGAAAATGTTCCTTTGAACTCCCCTGCACCATCTACCATCAACAATGCCGGCCATGTGAGAGGGTTTTTGGGATCATTGTATATTTTTTCAATCGCGTTCCAAACTTCTAAACTATTCTTTGACGTCAACGCTACTGCACATTTAAATCTTGTCACCACGTCTATCAGCACCAAGGTGTGTAAATACACTTTCCCCTTTTTCTGATCATCATAAACATGAGGTAATAGATCACATTGGTGTAATTTATTAGGAATTCGACATTTAGAAAAGCTA